TTCCCAGTGCCCCCACAAGTTACCTGCCAGCCTGAGAGCAGGTGCAGGACCAGGGAACCCACCCATCACTGCTGCTTTCCCCCATCAAGCACAGCTCCCCATGCAACCACTCCCTGCTGCCCTGATTGGAGTGGGGCAGGAGTGGCTGGGGCTGTGGTGATGGTGGGCAGATCTCCCCAACCCTTTCCTGCACCCAAAGGAGTAAGTAGAGAGGGTAAGGTGGGGATGGGAGGGGAAAGGAAGTGCTGGTGAGCACAGAAGGGAAGAGAAGGGGTGCTGAGAGTGGGGGAGGGGGAAATTCTTATCTGATTTGGGGACGAAAAAAATCCCTAGCTGCTGCTCCCATGGCATGGTCTGCAATTTAAAAAACAAAACCTAAAATGGCAACAGTTTTGGACACATTGACCATACCTGCAGCATGCATGCCACAAGTGACACATTGGCTAACACTGTATTTTCTGTAACCTAGTTGTGTTCCCCTCCTCACCCCCATCCCTCTTATGTTAGTCCCTCACTCAGGCACTCTGTATTTCCCTTATGGCTTTTGTCATCTTTTTGATTCACGATTCTTAACATTTACTAATAAAATTCAATTTGTAGTGGCAGATACAGCAGGAAGCATAAAGCGGAGCAGCAAATGGAGTAGGGAACGCAGGGAAAGAAGCAGAGCAACATATTGTGTAGAGAACATCAGCTAGGGTGCAGAGTGGCAGAGCAAGCAGGGAAAAGGGACTGGAGTGGCGCTTGGGGAGGGTACAGAGCTAATCTGTGGCATACCTGCCAAAAAAGTTGACCCCCCACTACCCTAGAGATCATAAACAGTGCTGTCTTCAGTGGTGCTCTGAAGTCAGGTTAGTTCATCATTTTGTAACCTAGCCTAGACTTCCCTCCAGCCACAAGATGGAAACAGGACCTGTTAACAGTAGGGGTGCACTGATAAGGATTTTTTGGGCTGATACCGATGGCCGATTATTAATGAGCCATATTGGCTGATCTCGATCTGATTGCCAATATGCAGTGGGGCAACTTGGAGAGTAGCATTCAGCTGGTATGCCTGTTGGGGGGAAGGGGTATGGGGGGCATATCAAGGCCCCTGTGGTGAGGGAGGGAGGGAGGGAGGGAGGGAGTGGGGCAGGAGCTGGGGCAGGTGATGCCCAGCCAGGGCGGGATGCAGGACAGAGCTGGGAGTGGCTCACCTTGTGGGGGGGTGTGGAGTGGCTCCTGGCACTGCGTGCGCTCCTGGGCAAGGCACGGGGGGCATATGTCCCCCAGACCTGTGTGTGGGGTGAGGGTGGGCTGCCGCTGCAGGCTAGGGCTGGGGGCGGTGCTGGGCTCTTCTCAGTTGGGGAGGATGGGCCAGGACTGTGGTCAGGGTGGGTGGTGGCAGCACTAGGAGGGAGGGCTATGGGGTGGGCTACAGCCACCCCAAAATTCGCCATAGCTCCCCCAAACCCTTCTTCCAGTGTTGCTGCCACCTGCCCTGAGACCAACCTCCCTGCCAGGAAAAGCCTGGTGCCGCCTCCATCCCCGGCCCACAACGGCAGCCTACCTTCATCCCGCACACAGGTCTGGGGGGCATGTGCCACTCCATGCCACCCCTGGGGGTGCGCGCAGTGGCGGAAGCTGCCCTTCCCCCCCATCCCTTGACAAGCCACTTGGGGCTTTGTCCCATGGTCTGCCCCAGCTGGGCAGCACCTGCTCCAACCCCAAGCCCAGCCCCAACCCCTGCCCCACTCCCTCCCTCACTACGGGGGGGGGGCCTCAATATGCCCCCCCATCCCTCCCCCCCAAGAGACTTATCAGTAAGATGCTGCTCTCCAAGCTGCCAGGCTGGCCACATGCACGCTGTGGCTGCACCCATGCACGTGGCATTTATCAGCGACATTATTGGTCACATCAACCAAAGAAAGCCAATTGCTGATAATGTCAATTTTCCTTTTATCAGTGCCAATACAATATGGACCAATGTATTGGTGCACCTTTAGTTAATAGGGCTTCAAAAATATTAGTATGCAGCAAAATAAACCTATGTGTTAAGGTTGAAAACGTCTTTTGTTCTTCGCAACAGGCCAAAGGGACAAGACTAGAGTGAAGAGGAAACAAATAACAAGCCAAACGTTACACTCCTTTGCCCTCAAAACACAGAGAGGAGGTCATTTTAGAGGGATGTTATAGGGTAAATTTTTTTTTAAAGCAAGCTCCCATATGAAATACTGACAGTGCTCCTAGAGATTGAAAGACGAAATGTTTTAACACTGATTTTCCTTCAGATTTGCATTATGTTCAGCTGCAAGGGCTTTGGTGCTGAAAAAAGGGTTTATTTACTTGTTTTTATACACTGGCACAATATTATTACTACCAGTTAATGTTTAAATCCAAACAAAACATTCAATTAAAATTGAAATGCTGACTAAGAAGTGTCAATATGAGGTTTCTTTTAAACTTTTCTTCTGTAAAATCTTCATTTTAGGCCTCAACTAACTGGCAGTGAGTCTCCTAACAAACATATTTCACTACTGATAGAACCCCTGATTCGACTTCTCATAACTTACATAGAAAGTATATGATGTCGTCTTTCTACAGTTCAAATTGACCTTGAAATCTCAAGCAGATCTTCCAAACTCATCAAGCAGCAGAACTGCACCCATTATACTCCTTGGTTGGTAGTAATTAAAAACCCAATTAAGTGTACATTGCATTTCCAGTTAAGGTAAATTAGAGCTTAGCACTCCCCCAAAACAACTAGTTTCGAAGAAAAAATGCAATTCCTCCTTGCTGCAGTGAATTAACTATTGGTAATGGTGCAATAGAAGTTATGAACACACAGTCACTCCCTTGAGATCTGTTCTTCGCACGGTATAAAGCAGCCTTGACTTAGCTTTCATTGTACTTAAAACAGATAGAAGGGAGGGCAAAGCCTAGAAGTGGGTCCCTCAGTCATAGAGAATAATTATTCACACCAGAGAGAGGGAAGTGTGCAGTGATGGAACCTAGTTAATAAGAAAAAAGGTCTACAAAATCTCTCGCTTCTGTTGATTAGCGTAGAAAAGTGACAGATTACAAGAAAAGGGCATTATAGTTTCATGCATCCTTTAGTTTCTGGACCCAGGAGCAGGAAGACATTCATCCAGGAGTGGGAAGAGGAAAAAAGTATGTGGGGGTAGCAGGTACTCAACAGAGAGGGTTACCAGGCTCCTGTTAGATGCTGCTGGGGAACAGCAAGCGCAGGCAACAGGTCCCGAGCGTTTGGTGAGGAGAGAGCTAGCAGCGTCCTGCGCCTGCTGAGTGCTGTGGGCAGCGCCTGACACAGGCATGGGGCCCAGGGCCCGGACAGAAAAGGGACCCGAAAATAGTGAGAATAATCATTACTATTATTATCATTATCTCTGGTGAAGGGGGGCCCCGATACTAAAAGTTTGCCCAGAGCTGCCAGGAGTCCAGGTGCGGAGCTGGCTGTGGGAGGGGGCGTGAGCCAGCAGCAGGGATCCTGGTTTTCTCTGATTAAAAAAAAATCCCCACTCTTCAGATTAAAAAAAGTAACTCAAAACCGCCATTTCTCCGTGATTAAAATGAAACCCCACTAATATATCTATATTAGTGGGGTTTCATTTTAATAATAGAAAAATCTGGATTTTGGCTTACTTTTTTCATGGGTGACTGGTGCCTCCTGGGACTGGGGGGCGCAGTTTGTGGGTGGCAGCATCAGTGGTGGGGTGGCGACTGCTTGCAGAAGCCAGTGGCGGTGGCAGCGG